TTAAGGCGTTGGGGAAAAACCATCGTCGTCGGTCGTTTTCCTTTATTCGACTCATTAAATTATATTTAAAAAAAAAGGAAAATTCTTATCGATATTTTTAGGTTTTAATCAGTCAAAAATTTCAGGTATTCCGTTTATAAATGATTTTATTTAAACAATAATAATAATAATAATAATAATAATGATTATTTAAAAGAAAACAATTTTTTTCCCACAATAATATAATAATAACTCGATTGTTCGTTTTTTTTTTGTTTTTCCAATCAAATATTAAAAAAAAAAAAAAATTAATAAACAATCAACGAATTTATTTATTTATTTATTTAAAAATAAATAAATTTACTTATTTATTTATTAAACAATAAATAAATAAATAAATAAAATTGTCAAAATGAAAAAATTGTCGATTTTGCGCATTCGCAACATATAAATAATAAATAAAATTTTCTCGCGTAAAAATTTTCCATCAATCTCAACATAATAATAATTTCATTCAACGAGTTATGTTACGATTGTCTAATGACACGACGACTTTTTAACATCCACGAAATTTAACGAAGGGGAAAATTTTATTTTTTATTTTTTTTTTAACGCGATAATACGCGCAAAGTGAATTAAATCGACCGTTTCTTTTTTTTTTTTTTGTGGCGAATTAAAAAAAAAAAAAATTTTCTTTTCTACATTCCAAGACGACAACCGTAAAAAAAAAAAAAGGATTCGATGAGTGATCAAAGTTGACGGACAAAGGTACGATGCAAATTAATTAATTTTCGCTAAATTTTTTTTTTTTTATTTCCTTACCATCGTGCACGAGGCTACCACTTCCATCCTTTGTCAATTTGTTTTCAACCGTTTCCGTTTCCGTTTGAATTTCCCCAAAACTTTTCCCATTTGTTTTCTTGCCGCCCGATATCAAATTCCTTTCGGATTCTGCGACATCTTCTAAAAAACCTTTCGTGACTTTTTTCCCATCCTTATCGTCAGTCGTCGTCGTTTCAACTTCATTGAAAACTTCTTCCAATAAGCTCAACGTTAAATTTTCATTCATTTTCCAAACAATTTCCTAACGACAAACAAACAAACAAACAAACAAAAAAAATAAAAAAATTAATATCAACAAACAAGTTTTTAGTAAAATATACATATTTACGTAAATTTTATTATAATTATTATTATTAATATTAATATTTAAAAACTTATCAAAACCGGTGAGTACAAACATTTATTATTATTATTATTATTATTATTATTAATTTTCGTTTATCGATAAGTTTAAAATTAATTTTTTTTTTTTTTTTGCGTAATTTAAAAATTTTTGGATTTGGTTTTATAAAGTGCAACAACAACAACAACAACAACAAAGGTTCAAATTTTACAAATTTTGTTTGTTTTTGTTTTCTTCTACTTTCGATTTTGCAATTTCGAAAAAATTTCGACTTATAGAAAAATTTCGAGATTTCTAAATCGAAATATTTTATCGCATATGGCTGAAAGCAAAAATTAAAATTAAATTTTTAAAAATAAAATAAAAAAAATCACTTTCACTTCGATTAAAAATGAAAACCTTTTTTTTTTTTAAACACAAAATGTTTTTATTATGTTGTTGTTGTTGTTGATGTGGTTGTTGTTGTTGTTGTTTCGAACGACAGTTATTAAATAAAAATTCAACTTTCGATATATAACATAATTATTATATTAATTTTTTTTTTTTTTTCTTATATTTTTGACATTTTCGCAAAGCAATAAAAACAACAACAACAACAACAACTGCAATAATAATAATAATATTAACAACAAGGTTAATAACGGTTGAAAATAAGGAAGACAGACAGACAGAGTGAGAGAGAGAGAGAGAGAAAGAGAGGTAGGAATAGCAAAAAAAAAATTCGTAAAAAAAAATCATAATCAATTATCATTATTTGAAATTGATTTACCCTTTTGCCCTTTTCTAGGGTCCCCCCCTCCCCACGACACCACGTGTGTCACGTCGTCGTTTCACATTTGTCAAATTTTATAATTTTTAAATAATAATAATAATAATAATTGTTAGGATCGCGTCATAAATTTGGCAAATTTTTCTTTAAAAAAAAATCGGGCGGACAATTTCCCGTGGAAATCCTCACTTGGCAGGAGGGAGGAGGGAGGGACAGGGGGAGGGAGTTACAATAATAATAAAGAAAAAAATTCGTTAAATCCGCACTCGAGTACGAGCATTAAGCATTTAAACATCGTTCGCGACGACATGGTGGTTTTCCCTTTCGTAATAATATTGAAAAAAAAATTATTTTTATTATTAAACTTTAGGATAATTTCACGCGATTAATTATTATTATTATTATTATCATTATTATTATTAAATTAAAAATATTCGCTTGTATAGAGTCTCGGAAAACCAACCGTTTAGGTTAAATCGAATATTTTAATGTTATTTATGTGTTTTGAGTTGACGTCCTTCACCGATCTTTTTTTACACGTTTATCGTAAAGAGTTCCGTATATATATGAAAAATTACCAGTTTGGTTAGTTTTACATTTTAACTCGTACAAACGACAAGTTGTTTGTTTGTTTGTTTCGGCGAAAAAAAAAAATTATTTTTAGTTTTTTCGAGTTTTTCGTGTTGTTGTTTAATGTTTACGAAACTTAACATTTCACATTCGCTTTGAAATGGAAAAAAAAAATATTAATAATAATATGAAATGATATTTAAAGAATTAACAAATCAACAAACAACCGACCGATTTCGTTTTTTTTTTTTAAAATTAATAATTAGTTAATCAGTTTGTCGTTTGTCGTTTTAACCTCGTGAACAAAAAAAAAAAAAATTTTCTTTCGTTAATAATTTCTTACGGAAAATAAAAAATTTTCCGAAAAAAAAAAAAAAATTATTTGCTGTTATGAAATTGTGAGTGAGTGAGTGATTGTGTTTGTTGTTGTTTTTGTCGCTTAAATCTCACGAAAAAAATTTTTTTAAATTTTCTCATCATCATTATTATTAAATAAGAAAAGGCGCGAGAGAACATTTTAATTAGAAAAAAGGTTAAATTCGTCCCGAACCATTTCCGGTATATTTAAATACTCTAATTTTCCTTTTCTTTTTTTTCCCTATTTTCTTCATATATTTTTGCACTTTCGACTAAAAATTTTCCGCCAAGTAATTAAAATTTAATACGAATCTCCAGACCTGTTATTATCATTATCATTCAACGTATTAATATCATCGAATAGAAAAAAAAAAAAATTAATATTTACGTCGTTAAAAGTAATCATTATTAAATTTTTTATGTTATTTTTTTTTTTTTTTTTAATTACAACGTATTCAAATTTTCTTTTTTTTTTTTGCAGAGACGTTGGAAGAGTTGGTTGTTAGAAAGGACAACAACAACAACAACAACAAATGACAAATTTGATGGGGAAAAAAAAGAAGTAAAATGGAAAAATGACCAGTCATGACTTTGCAAATGATAAAAAAACATTATACGTTTGTCGTTTTCATCATTATCATCGTTTGTCGATTGATTATAGCAATAGAAAATGGAGGAGAATTTTTTATACAAAAATGTTGCGGAGAAAACGAATTGATTTTAGAAAAAACGAGCGAATGCGTCGAATATAATTTATTAAAAATGGAAAATCATGTTTATCGTCACGATAATGATACCGAAAGAGATGTCGTTGAATTTAATTCTGGCGAATGTAAGGTGAAACTTTATACATTTTCTTTTTTTTTTTTTTTTTCTCTGTAAAATTAAATTTTCCTACTTCACTAACAACAATAATTCTAACAACAATTAACGCAAACGTCATTGAGTCCTTTTTTTTGTTTAATTTAGACGGTAAAGATTCTCGTCCGTGGTGGTTTCCACCGAATAAAAAAATATTATCGAAAAAAAATAATTCGACTTTGAAAAATTTTCCTGAAAACGTACGAGTTAGTTTTGGTAAAGGACAACCCTGCGACATATTGGAAACAGTTTTCCTTCCAATTTTTTTAAGTCAGTGCGATTTTTACGAAGATGGAAGTTTAATAGTGTATCCAAATCAATCCCATGGATTTTACACTCACAAAACCGAAATATTATTCGATCCGAAATCTTATTGCATCGACAGGTACTTCTTGTATTTTCTATTTACGTTTTGCGTACCTGATAAATCGCATATTTAATAATCATTGTTTTTTTTTTTTTTTTGATAGATTAGACCTGAGAACGGATTATCCCGAAGAAGAAACTGAAAATCCCACTTTGGATTTCACGGATACCGTTGATTATTTGATTATGCTTTGCCCGTGTAGGGAAGCAACGTGCATACTCAAATGTTGTCCTCCCGGAATGCTCATCGACATTGAAAACATTCAAGATCGGGAAAATGCATGCGTGAGAAATCAACCAGGTACGTAACGGAAAATTGTAATTATTTAAAATTGAATGTACCCTCCGAGTACAACATATAAATCGTTTGTAGAAGAAGAAGATTGGACGCCCAATTACACGAAAGTACACAGTGATTCCAGAGATTATTTTTTACTTCATAGATTTCCCGTTTGTAAACCGGGAGAGGGTACCGTTATACCCAATCAATTTAAAATCGATGGACACACAATATATTCAAACGGATCCGCGCATATATACGGTGAAAAACATATGAATCAACCTTTGGAATTTTGTGGAGAAAATTTTATTAGCGGAAGTCGGGAAGATCGAAGAGTTTATAATCATTTAATAAGGTAAATTCGAATCTAAACTTTATCAATCCCGGAAAATTGTAGGTAAAGTTTATCAATCGATTTTAGGTGTTATCCGGAAGTGGGTATAAAAAATCGCAAATCGGAAATTCGTCGAATGTTATATGGAAGCCTATTTGTCATCGGTGCCATTTTTCTTTTTCTAACACTTCTCGTTCATGGATTATTACCACCGAGGAGTAACATTAACGACAAAAATTTAATATCCCAAACATGGAGTTTATTTATTGGATATGTTAGCGTTGCCATTTCCCAGTTGGGAATGAATAGAATATCTCAAAATTTATGCATATTTTTGGGTGTGTTTATTTCAAAAACATTTTGTCACAACCCGAGTAAAATTTCATAATAATAATAATAATAATGTGATTTTCAGGATTTTTGATACAATATTCTTTCTTAGCTGCATTTTTCTGGTTAAACATACTTTGTTTTGATATTTCTTGGACTTTTAGGTAAGGGGCACAATCATTACAATAGTTAGCTATATACATAAATTCTAAATAACTTATCATTGATAATTTTTCTTTAGCGAATTACGGATTGTAAGAGGGATTCCAAACAACAGATCACATCGTAAATTTATTTACTATTCAATATACTGTTGGTTGTCACCTGCAATAATTTCAATATTAACTGCTTCTATTGAATTTTTACCTAATGTTCCAGATTATATAATAAAACCACAAATAAAAGAAAGATGCTGGTTTAGAAATGGTAGAAATTTTTCAGTAACTCATTTTCAAAATTTAAATTATTCGTTACATGGCTCTCATGTTTTTTTTTTTCTTTACAGATTCTATGGCAATTGTCGCTTATTTTTATGGTCCCATTGCTGTTTTGTTAAGTTTAAATGTATTGTTATTCATACACACTCTTTATAGAATATATCAAGCTCAAAGAGATATACAAACAGTTATAAAAAATAATAATCCTGAAAAACAAAGGTTAGTATTCCAAAAAAAAATTCTTAAAACTATCAATCGAAACTAGTTTTTTTTTTTTTTTTTTTTTTAAATTTTGAAACTTTCATGACAAATAACTTATAAAACTTTTTACAGATTTATTTTGTATATTAAATTATTATTATTGATGGGATTACCATGGATAGCCGAATTGATATCTTGGGTTGTTGGAGGACCCAGTTATTATTGGTATTTAACAGATATAATTAATTTATTGAGGGCTGTTTTTATTTTTGCAGTTTTCTGTTGTAAAAAACAGGTAAACTATCAAATTACTTCAAGTTTGATTAAGTTTTGAATTTAAAAAATTATTAGTCTTGATTATTTTAAGGTGTTAAATGAATTAAGAAGAAAATATGGAATTATGCGTCAGCCTCATATTAGAACTCCAAGCATACCCAGAACTAGTTCTAGTCTTTTTGGTTCAACCCAATGTCAAGAATTACATAAAAGTTCAAGTAATGCCGTATCTAGTCTATAAATCTTTTTTTTTTGGAAATGTGTATAGTAAATTTAGTTTTAAAAATTGTGTATTGTTAATTACTGTGTAATTGTCTTTTTTTCTTTGTAAATTAATAGTCCATTATACTATAACCTTTAATTTTTTTAGAATAAAATAATGCTTATTATTAAAAAAAAAAAAGAAAGAAAAGTAAAGACTTTAGCTTAAATTTAACTGATAAATGCTTATTCATTAGAAATTATACCGAATTGAATGAAAACTAAAAAAAAAAAAATTCTCCTACCTAAATTTAACCTGTTGGTATCATCATCTTACTATTTACCGCGCTTTTTGATGTAAAGTTCTGAACGTACACTTCAACACAACTCACATTTATTTTTGGATTTATCTCTTAAAGAGAGTAAAAATTGTAAAACAATATAAAACTTAAAACTTAAAACTAAAAACTATTTTTTAATAACTTCACAAATTCATGTTGAATTTTTTTTTTTTTTTTTATATTTTAAAATTAACTCAACGTGTTTAAAGTAAAAATGAATATTTTACAAATCAAGGTTAAAACTTAGAGCTTTGATTGGTTGTTAAAAAAATAACAAAAACTTTTAATGCGCATGCGCCTAAAATTGTGGTCTCCATTTTGCGCCAACGAAGGCTCTGTGAAATAATGATTAGATGAACGATATAACGGTGCAAATAAATTAAAAAATATAAGTATTGCATTGAGACATATTGTAAATAATATTATAAGTATCAAATCAATAGCATTCAGTAGTTATTTAGTGAATAAACTTCATTATGAGTATCAGTGACATTTGTGTACAAACAGAATGGCGGTGTTTAAAGGCCTCATTTTATAGTTAAGCCTCTTATATACAACTTCTACCCTGCAAAGTTGTTACAATTTAGCTTTTTTAATTTGCGTAAGGGAAACAGGATTTCACGACGAATTTGTAAATTGTTTTAATCGCCAAAATGTCATCAATAGAATATGATTTAGACACATCGGGAGGCTTGATGCCCGTAAGTTTTATTTCGTTTAGGAGCCATTTTGTTAAAAATATGGCGTGTAAAGTGAATAATATTAGCTATTATTATTATGTGAATTATTAAAATATATCATATACAGTAAAATTATTTATTAAAAAGCTTATTTTTTATTTTTTCTATAGCAAATTCAAGCCTTAATAGCTCCTCCGGTCAGTGACGATTGTTCAAAAGTTAAAAAAAAGGAAGGAAAAGAATTGCATCCGTACTATAAGCGTCCTGGCAAAGGCCATAACCACGATTCCTGTGATTCCTGCGGTGAAGGAGGAAATTTACTTTGCTGCGATAAATGTCCTGCCTCGTTTCACCTTCAATGTCAGTAAGTATTTATACAAATTTTCAAATTAAAAGTACTCTTACATAATAACGTATGCTTTAGTTTTAAAATGGAGGCAGGGTTAGGTTATAATTTATTTATGGATAAAAGCAAAGTTACTGAAACTTGAATTTAAAAAATTATATTTGGCTGTTATTATTATTATTTTAAAATCAATTTTTATGGTATTTTTTTTTAAATACAGAACATAAATTCAAAGACCAATTTATTTTTATCTTATAGGTATTTATGTTCTTCAATTTATTTTTTTTTACTTTTAGTGATCCTCCTTTGGAAGAAGATGATATACCGATTGGGCAGTGGTTATGTCACTCTTGCAAAGTTGCAGCTGTATGTATTTCATAATTTTAATTTTTTTTAAATTGATATTCAGAAAATTATTAAAGAGTTTATTTATTTGTTTAAAATATTTTAGGCGAAAGCAGATGGAATACCTGTAAGAGAAATAAAATTTCATAAGTCTGAAGTAATAACTAAGCCTAAAAATGAAGTAGATTTATCAAATATTAGTCCAAATGCTTTGCCAAAAAATGAGTCAGAGGTTCGTGGACGATTGAGAAGCAGAAAAGATAGTGTTTCATCTGGTTTGTTGAAAACATCAAAAAAAGGGAAGGCAGCAGGAAATGATAAAAAGAGAAAAAATGATGATAAGAAAGATACTTCGGAAGATGAAGATGAGGATGACATTAATAATGCTGAAAATGATGATGAAGGAAAATTGAAAAAAATTAAAAAAAAATGCTCTGATGTTATTGGCAACGAGGCAAGTTTTCTTATTCAATTTTAATTATTTTAAATTTTCAAAAAAATTTAATTCGTTATTGTTTTATTTTTTTTTTTTTCTTAGAATTGTGTCGAGAATGAAGTAAACTTTATGACACCTATGGACTTATTAATAGAGGCAGCAATTGAAAGCAACCCAAAGCAATATGATCTACCCAAAGAGTTGACTATAAGCATGCCTTTTCCAGGATCTGAAAAAGGTATTTTTTTTAGTAGTAGGTCTCGTAGTTCTTGTCATAGTAATTTTGTTATAAATTTCATAATTTTTTTTTTTTTAGCGGGTAATGGCGTTGGTCCTGGTAAAATTACTTCAAGGCGTAATTCATCGGCCAAAAAAAAGCCATATGAATTAGATAATGGAATGGTGCCACTTCCAGTTAAAGTTTGTTATGAATGTCATAGAAGTTGCAGAGTTGCTCCTTTAGTTTCATGTGATTATTGCAGTTTGTTATTTCATTTAGATTGTTTAGATCCTCCTTTAGCATCAATGCCGACTGGAAAATGGATGTGTCCTAATCATCCGCAGCATTATATTGTAAGTTTCAATTTTAATTTATAAAAAAAAGTTTTTTTTAAACATAATTTTAAATTAAGTATTGATTTTTTTTTTTTTTTTTTAGGATACAAAACTCTTAACGTCTGTTAGTTTAACAGAAAGGGTTAAATTATGGGAAAAGTATTCTGGACCAATAGATCAAGATGCTGTAAAATTGGAATTCATTCGTAAAGTTAGACGAAAAAATCCTCCGTTTCGATTTAAAGTTAAACTTCCTCCGAGAAATAAAATTCGGGTATGTATATATATATATATTCACAAAAATTTTTTCTAAACTTTTAAAAATATTTTCAACACTCTGACTAATGTAATATTTATATTTATTTTAAATAACGTATAATGATATTATACATAATCTTTTTTTAGGTACCCGACGCCATTAAACAACAATATGCTTGTCCGCAACCTTTAGTGCCATCACTAAAAGAAGTTCTTAGAGTAGAAAAAATTTCAAGCCTAGAAGAACATGCCACGGCTGTGGAACAGGAAGAGGTAATAAATAAATAAATAAATTTTACGCATTATTAATTAATATTAATATTTGTATAATAAAAATCATAATAAAAAATTGGTTTTTTTTTTTCAGTGGCTTTCAAGCATTATAGCCATGCAGTCTAGTATAGCATGCCATCTTGCCTTTCAAAAACAAAAAAAACTACAACAGACTCCAATAGAAAACGATGTAACTACAAAATCAAAACAAAGTGACATATCTCAAACGGAAGCGCAGGTTAAAACAAACGATATCGTCGAACTTACAATAGAGAGACAAATGAGTGATAAACCAAAAATAAAATCTAAATCTTCCAATGAAGTGATCAACGGAAACATAACGGTACAAAGTCATAAGGGGACACCCTCGGCAAAGCCTAAAGAAACGGTTGAAAAAATGATGGAGAAAATGTTTAGCGACGTGACGACTTCCGTTTCGCCCAGGAAAACAGATTTTACGGGAAGTAAAACATTAGAGAGTTTACTAAGGGAATCATCGTCGGAAAAAACAAAGAAAATAATCATCAACGGTCCAATACCGAAAGATGCTAAAATAATACTTCATCAAAACGGTGAAATGAGGTTAAAAATAAAGGAAGATCAGAATTTAAAAACTTTCGAGCCTAGAATTAAAATATCGGATCAGAAGCAGCATCAGCAGCAACAACAACAACATCAGCAAAATTCTAATTCGATAGATGCAAAAGTTTTAGAAAACCTCAATTCACAACTGAATTATTTACTATCGACTTCAGCGGGAAAAGGTAAGATTAAAAAAATCTTAATGTTTTTAAATTGTAAAATAAAAACAACAAGAATTAACTTTACGTTTTAAATTGAATTTTAGAATTAGCAGAAGAATTGAGTAAAATTGATTCAAAACTCGTTAACCTTCTCGCCTTTCAAAGAATTCAACAATTGTTACCCTCTACCGTTGGCATGAATAATTTAAAAAATTCATCAAAGATTTCACCGACGTTATCGCATTATACAATTGAAAACGAAAGCCAAAGATTGAGACTAGAAGAATCATCAGAGTCTGACGCGAAGCAAGAAGGAGCGGAAAAGGATAATAAGAAAAAAAACACCGTTTTCGGAGCGTACGAAAAAAACTTATCGCTTAAAAACGGGGTTTTATTATCGAATAAGCAATATGTTGCCATTAAAGACTGTAACGCAGAGTTGAGCCTGCAAGAAATCAGTCCGAACAATGTTAATCCATCATTGAAAGCGGTTAAAGACGTGTCGCAAGTAAAAATAAGTGATTTTCTAAGGAAGGAATTCGATCGAAGTCACGTCGAGATACAAGCGAGAGCCATATTGACTCCTTTGAATACAAAAGATTTGGGTGTTAAAATGAAATACAGGACGTTATCGATAGGAACGGGAGCGGATAACGACGTTTGTTTGAGTAGTTACGGGTTTTGTAATTACGTATCACCCAAACACGCCGTTATTTTTTACGACGAGGTGAAAATCAGATAAAGTTTTTTCTTTTTTTTTTTTTTTTTTTTGTATTATTTTTAATTTAAAAAATTATTTGAATTTTTTTTTTTTTTTTTTTTTGTTTATATCAGATGACGAAGCATTACGAATTAATTAATTATTCAGAGCACGGAACACTTGTTGACAGCGTGGTTTACACAACTGATTATTCGGATCGGAAAACTCCAAGATTAGATGCTAAGGTACCTGAAAAAAATCCCCTGGCAAAAACTGTCAAGGAAATTATTGATAGGAGGCGGGGCATTATCAGAAATAGCGAAGACGCGGATCGTGGACCTCCCTCGAAAATGATCTCGAGAGAACACCAGGTGAAATGATAATTTTGAGAGAGAGAGAGAGATAAAATTTTCTTTTTTTTTTTCTAATTTATTTTATTTTAACAGAATCCCAGAATATGTTACTGCCAACCAAATAAATTATCAAGTAGTTATCCGGCCGGATGGGAGGGATCCGCCGTTTTGTATCACTGTTCGTACATAAAATTCGGATGTCTCCAATTCGTTTTCAGCATAGCAGACTACGCTCCGTCGTTGAAAATCGAAAACAAAGATTTGCCGGACGAGAAAGACGAGAGGCAAAATTGGAAGAAAACGTGCAAGAAAATCCCGGGGAAATCGAATCCGAATCCGAACGGCGGAAAGGGTAGAAAAATGATAAACGATAGAAAAAATGATTCGAGTCGGTCGAATAGCGAAAACGGGACCGAGGGAAAAGATGATGAAACGACAAACGAATTAGACATAACAAACATGGAAATGGATTTCGAAACGACGGAAATAAAATTAGAAAACGAAGACGATTCGGGATCATCTAAAAACGAACAATGAAAAAAGTATCAAATAAACTTTTTTTCTTTCGTTTTTCTTCCCGATTTCCCCCATTCTCTATCCTGTATTGTTGTTGTCTCTCTCTCTCTCTCTCTTTCTCTCTTCCCTCGATGCGACGACTCTTCCTCCCTTACCATCATTTTATTATTCTTTCACTTGGCCCACATTGAAAAAAATTAAAAAGACGACCAGAAAGAGAGAGAGAGAGAGATGGAGAGTTAGAGAGATAGATGGAGTGAGAGAGAGAGAGAGAGAGAAAAGGAAGAGGAAAACTGAATCAAAACCATGTAAAAATGTAATTAATTAATTAATTATTAAGCAAATATTATTTGTTGAATCCCTTTTTCACTCTCCCTCTCCCCCCTCTCTCCCTCTTTTCTCTCTTTTTAATAATTTTTTTAAAATTTTCAAATCGTCAGCATGTAATGAATGAATGAATGATTGAATGAATGAATGAATGAATAAGAAGAAGACAAAAAAGATTTAAAATAAAAAAAATTTTTAATTTATGTGTATAAATGTAATTAATAAATAATAATGAAAATTTAATAAGTTTTTATTGATTATATGATTTAATTAATAATAATAATAATTTTTTTTTTATTCTTTTATTATTATTATTATTATTATTATCATTGTAAAATTTCGAATCTTGTTATCGTCATAATAATAATCATTAATTATGATTTTTTTTTTTTTTTTGTAATAATTTCTGTCGTAGAATAAAATAATAATAATAATAATAATAATTTTTCTCTTGAATATTTTATTCGCGAGTCTCATAATTTTTTATTATTATTATTATCATCATTATCATCTGAATTATTATTATTATTATTATTTTTTTTTTTCATAAAAAATAAAATTTATAAATAAATAAATAAATAAATAAAAAGTTTAAACTGATTATTTTGTACAAAAAAAAAAAAAATTATGTAAAAATTTTTGAGAAAAGAAAATATAAAATAAATAAATAAATAAAATTTTAATAATATTTTATTTTTTAATAAATAATTTAAATAAATTGAATTTGAATTTGAGAATTAATTTTATATATATAAAAAATTATTGATTTATTATCGATCGATTAAAAATTTAATTGATTTCCATGGATTAAACAAAAAAAAAGCGGGAAAATGGCAATACATAATAATAATAATAATAATAATAATAATAATAATAATTTTGGTTAATCTATTAATATAATAAATCGTTTTCTTGTTTACAGCTTCCTATGATAATAATAATAATAATTTTTTTTAATGGTACGTATGTTTTAAATTATTACGTGAAAAATGATTTTCAATTGTTTTATCGTTATTATTATTATTATTATTATTATTATTATTATTATTATTAAAATTTTGTTGTTTTTTTTTCTTTTATAAATTTCGTTTTTGATAACTTTGATAATTAATTATTAATATTATTTTTTTTTCCGGTTCCGTCGGTACAAAAAAATGCGTAAAAGTGTTGAGGATAAAAAAAAAAAAACATTATTATTATTATTATTATTACTTTTTTTGAGGGGTTCGCTTTACATGTAATTAATATTATTATTATTATTATTAAGTTTATACCGTTTAGTTTTAATATATATAACAATTACGATTACGTTTTTTACTTTTTTTTCTGTTTGTTTGTTTTTGTATTTAAAAAAAAAAAAAAGACAAATTTGTTGATAATAATAATAATAATAAGAACGTAAGATGACGACGGTTGGTTATGAGAGTTACTTAAACATGACAAAATTTATTATTATTATTATTATTATTTAAATGTGTTATAAAATAAATAATTTATAAATAATATTATTATTATTATTTTCTATGATGACTTATTATTATTATTATTATTGTTTTGTTTCGTTTGTAATTTACGTGTGATCGGGTCAGTTGGTTAATAGTTGGAAAATTATTATTATTATTATTATTTTTTTTAACATCTACTCAATTAATTGTCATTTAATTAATTTAATTTAATTACTTAATAAAAAAAAAAAAAAATTTTTTTTTGTGAAAACCGATGACGTAATAAGAAATCTTTTTATAATAATAATAATAATAATAATATTAATATTAAAAAAATTCTTTTTTTTTAAATTAAAATCGATCGATCGATCGATCGATAAATCGATCCTTGATCGGTTATTTTTTTTTTTTTCATTTCGATTGTATTAATTTGTAAGATTTTCATTTGAATTTTTAGGCTATTTTAAATTAATAATAATAATAATAATAATAATAATAATAATAATAATAATTTTTTTTAAAGGCGGCGGCTCAATAAGGAAACATTGAGTTTTATTTATACATAAAAAAAAAAAAAAAATAATAAAATTTTATTTAATAAATATATATATATTTATACGAACGTTAATTAATTAAAATAAATTAATAATGATGATGATAATAATAATAATAATAATAAAATTATTATTTTATTTTATTTTTTGGTAAGTAATAAATTTAAATTTTTTAACAAAAAAAAAAAAAAATTTTCCAAGGGGATTAATTTTAATTTTTTTTTTTTTTTTCAGGTCGTTCAGGATCCTGTTTTGGTGTGTGTGATAACGTTATCAATAATTTTCTGGACACGTGAGGGGATGCAACGAATAGGTAAGTCAATAAATAAATAAATAAATAAATGCATAATTTCTTTTAAT